AGAGCAACAAGAAGACTGAAGAGCCGGAGGGCATGATGGGATCAGTGTTTGGAGGCTTAGACCTAGGTTACTGTGTCAGCTGTTTAGAAGACAGGGTTGGAGAAAGGGAGGCTGGCTAAGAGTGTGAAGCAGCTGTCCATAATGTCCTTGGCTGAGACTCAAGGAGTAAGGAGCAGGGATTGGGTGGCATCCTCATGAAAGAAGGAAGACCAACTCAGAAGGTGTAGGGAAGACAGGCCAAGGCCCACAGCAGGCAAGTGGGTGGCTGTGGAGTTCAGAATGCCCTGCCTCAATGCCACATGTTCTATGCTCAGTGACTCTTCATGGCAAATGCTTGTCCAGGTGTACGATGTCCTTTTCTTATCTTTTTGTTTGCAGTTCAGAACCAGCCCCTCGGATGCCATTAGGTCCTGGGTCAGTAACACTGGTTGAGCTTTCTTACTGTGTGCATCTTATAAAAGAGGGCAGTCCTACCAAAGGCAGCTCACCTCACTATCTCCTTGTCTTAGGTGAGGAATTTGGGGCTCAGCAAATTTAATGTCCATGGATTGCAGTTAAACCTAATTCAAACTCAGGCAAAGCAACTGCTGTTAAAGCACACTGCAGTCTCCTCTCAACCTACTAGAGGCCCAGACTAGGTTCATGGTGGTCCTCCAAGCCATGGCTTTAGGACTGAGCAACTGTGAACAGTGGCTTTGCTGGAGGCTCTATGCAGGTCTGTGCCCCAGGCTTGTGCCTTCTAGCACCTTGTGTCTGTAGTCTGAGATCTGCCACCTAGTGGCCACAGACATCCGTTTTTTTTCCTTTGGAGTTCCTAGGTGGAAGACAGGCAGGCTGGCTTATTTATAGCACCACAAACTGTAAACAGGAAACTTGTCAGTCTCAGAGAAAGAGCCCAGCAATGTAAAACAGCATATTGCCAGTGAGGCCCTGCACCCATCCGACAATTAGCAAGTGAGTACAGATCCAACCCTTACATGCATCCTGGTCACTGGGACACAGGTTTCTCCTGTCTATATTGTTCGATGGTGATCTCAAGAACCTAGGATAGTGGCATTTGCATAGCAGAGCTGCAAGTGTTCACTGGATAGAATGCTGGCAGCATCTTTGTGACTGCCCTGTCATGTGTTCGTTTTCTCATTTAATGACGGCTTAAAGGATCTGGACTGTTGGATCTGGAGTGGTCCATTTCTCACGTATGGAACCTTGGCACATGTGACACAGACTTTCTGGCCTTTGAGACTCATAACTGCTAAGATCTACTCTGTGCTGTTTTGTATGTAATATTGCCACTATATAGACATATGGTAGAACTGTCTCCTCTCAAAAAAAAAAACAACAAACAAAAAAAAAACAAAAAACAAAACAACCAAACAAAAAAACCCACCACCAACAACAACAACAAAAAACAAAAAAACACCAGACATTTACACCCATGTTCTGGCTTTAAAGTATAAGGTTTCTCCCCTGTGCTGTGGGAGTGTATAAATAAAGGGAATGTCCCTGGCTTGCCCTGAACTATGTATATGCATGGTCTTTCCACACATCCTTCATTGTTTAAAGGAGGGGACTGAGTTAGCATCCTTGTCTTCTCTTCCAACTCCAACATTCTACTGTTTCTGTGCCTCCCAGGGAGCCGGATTTGAGTGGAAGAGAGAGGACCACTTGTTACTAGGCAACCAGCACCCACCTCACCCATGTTACCATGGTGATGATGAAAGTTGGGCTGATGGGATTACCAGCTCCTGCTAATTGCACATGAGCACTCAAGGTCTCTGTCTCTTGCTTGCTTGCTCACTGACTTCAACTCTGTTCTTCTAGGCACCATAGAGAGAGATTCTCTCTCATCTATGGTTCTCCTGGGGCATCCCCGGTATACTAACAGAAAGCAACTGGAAATGGACTGGCTGTGCCTCTGAGTAGCTGTGTGACCTAGGGCAAGTTACCTAGCTTCTCTGGGCCTCTATTTCCTCATTTGGAAAATTGAAGGGGTTGAAATGCGGTTCCCCTTCGAAGGTTCTTTCCAGCTCTCAAATCCTTTGAAGCCTAGGGAGCATGTCAGGGGAACAGACCACACTGTTACCAGGCAACCAGCAGGCACCCTGCCCAAGTTGCCTTGGTGACTGGATACTGGAGGGGAGGGGAGTCACTGCTGCAGCTAATTGCTTAATTATTTATGAGTGCCTCAAGTCCTTTCTGTTGTTTTTGTTGCTAGGGGCTGTGGGGTCACCTTTTCCTCTCTCCTGCCACCCCAAGGCATCTGCATTGTGTGTTATGCAATGAGAGAGCACCTTGGCCTGGACCTCAAGCAACCCACGTTCTAGTTCTGCCTTTGTCATGTCCTAGAGCAGTGGTCTCAGGTAAGTCAACTCAGCTCTCTGGGCCTCGGAGTTTCCTTTCTCATAGCCTTGTGTTTGTTTAGGGAACATGAAGTGCCCTGTCTACCTGGAGGCTCTGGCTCCCACCATCTAATTCCAAAGTGGGGAATACAAGTGAAATGTTTCTAATGTGTTTGCACTGAAGTCTAATTTTGAAGCATAATGAGAATCAACATGTGTTTGGTGGGAAGGGGACAGAAGTGCTCAACATCTTCTCTCCTGTCCTTAACCATGTCACCTGAACTCTTTGTTAACCTAAGGTCATTTATATTTCACTCATTGCGTGTCACCAACTTCCCAAGTGGACTTCAGGCCTTCACAGTATAAGATGCAGACATGCAGTTAGGCCATTGAAATAGAAACAGAAATAGATATAAAAATACAGGAGCTCCCTCTTCATTGATAAATATCCATGTCATGATCTGGCAGCACATGTAATTTTGAGTGCCTTAGAGGCCGAAGCAAAGGGGTTTTATATGGAATGCAGAAAAACCTTCAGGCTCTTTCCGGTCCTAAGTCCTAGAAGGAGTTTATTTTGTGGCTTTTTATTTTATAGGCACTGTAGATAGTCATGTAAAGCTAGTCCTTTCTGGCTGAGCGATTATTACGGGGTATGAGGAAGAATCAGACTATGACAGTTTGACTAGTTGTGATCATTAGAAAGCAGCCATCCTCTTCACTGATGCTTTAGAATTTCATACAGATAAATGTCACCAAGTCTTCAGAGTCAGGCGCTATTTATAACTCACATACATGGATATGTGCTTATCTTGTACAACTTGGCAACTTGGATCAGATTTTTAAACGCAGGCAGCTGTTCTTATCCTCCAAACTCACTCTGAAGTGAGCCTGTACAGATGAGGGTATAACTATGACGATGCCCAGGGTGGGTTTACTCAGAAAAGAGAATAGGTAGAAAGTGCACACTGTCATGAGCCGCTGCGTTACAGTGAGTCCTGTTCACACCCTGGGTGAGGTAGATCTGTGTGTCTTGATATGGAAGATAAAGACATAATGCCAAATAAGAAAACAAAGTGCAACATTGATGTTAAATGCATCTGTTTCTTCTATAAAAAGATTTGGAGGTACAGTTTATAAATTGAGATGTATGTTTGTATGCACACATGTATATTTTCCTAGAAGCTGTTAGCAACAGTTTCCTCTGGGAGGCAGATTGATTGTCTTGGGAGAGGCTGAGACCTCCTATTTATGACTTATTTTTATTCTTCGGACCTTTATTTTTTATTCAGATGTACAGACCAGTCTGTCAGTGGAAATCCTCTTAACATGCCTCTTCACATCCCAGTTTTGCCATGTACAAACCATGTGACCTTGGGGTTAACCTACCTATTCTGTCCCTTATCTTTAAGATAGGTGGATAGTATCTTCCACATCATATTACTTAAGGGGTATACAAGCTAATTGGGTAAAGCTCTCTGAAAGGCTTTAACGATGTCACAGGTATGCGTTTTTTTTTTAAAGGTAAAGAAAGATTAAACAAATGCATGTGACCAGGTGGACCCTGGTATCTCAGGGATGGAGACTTGCTCAGACAGTCACATTTCCAGAACCTTGTTACATTCCAAGAAGGGGTCACAAAGCAGGAAGACTGTTTTGTTGTTATTTTATCTTGCCTTGGCTAGCTTGTGGGAGGATTTATCTGCCCTGGGTTCAGGACAAGCTGTCATGAACCCATCAAGCCCCCATCAACCAGCTATCCTCTCGAGCAGAAAGGAAAATATATGCTGGTCAGGTAGAAAATGGGTGAGGTGACCAACTGCACGTCCCCAGCTGCTGAAGGCTGGAATCGTACATCATGCCTCTGGGCCTTTGCCTTTCTCCTGAAGACAGTTAACTGAGGCCTAGGAGGAGCCTTGCCTGAGGGTTCCTCTTACTGTGAACTCAGCGGTCTCATGGTTACAGTGACTTCCTGGATTTTCACAAGTGTAGGGTATGAGTGCAGAATTGCAGCTCCCTCTCTCTCCCTCTGCTGGGCTTGGAGGCAGACCTGGAGAACTTTGGCTGACTGAAGATTCTCTTGAAAGCTGGGCATTCTGTTGGTACATTCTGACTCCAGAGATGGAAGGAAAGGAACCTTGTTTCCACTGCTAGGAAACTTTATTCTCACCACTAGGCATGCACAGCTTCAGTACAACTCCATGGCCTCAGTTACCTTGTTTCTACACCCTCAGACACTGGAGTCTCTCTATCTGTTCGGCCATTGGTCCTCTCTCCATCTATCTGTCACATCCAACTGTGCTTCCATCTGCCCTTCCATCCCTCTGTTCCTCCTCCAGCCATCTGCCAGCCTTCCCATCCAGCCTTCTGATTGCTGGTATGTCAATCCACCTCTCCTTCCTCTCTCGCACTTTTGGACTCTGAGACTCCATCCGCACTGATCCATTGGCCGGACCTTCCATCTGTCCTTGGCCCAGCTCCGAGGCTAGCCGGGTGACTGTTCCTCTGCCCTTCTCCCTCGGGTCCTCTGCTCCGGGCGCGGGCCGGCCTTTGTTGGACTGGGGCAGGGCCGAGGCCGGTCGGGGTGGGGCGCGGGGCGGGGCGGGGCGGGGCGGGGCTGGCGCCGGGAGACTACTATAAGCGCTCTGGTCCGCTTGTCCGCGGCCTGGCAGGCAGAGAACATGGCGCTGCCCCCGGCTGCCGCGCCCCCCGAGGCTAGCGAGCCTCTCGGCAAGGCTCTATCGGTGCTGCGGCCGGAGCCGGGCGGCGTCCCGCTGCACTCGCCCTGGACCTTCTGGCTGGACAGGTGAGGGCCGCGCCCCGCCGCTTTGTCTCGGCCACGTCCTCGCCCCATGCGCGCCGCTGCCAGGGGGCCTCGCCCGGACGCAGCAAGAGTTCCGCGCGTCCCCGATAGTGTCCAGCCAGCTGGGCAGGGAGTCGCTGCCGACCGGGGAAGGCTGCCCCGCGTATCCCTGGGGTGCTGGGCTTGCTCGGGACGTGACCTTTGAGGTGACAGCAGTCAGAAAAGTCGGCCAGAGGCAGGGAAGCGCTGGGACCTCGCTACAGGCACCTGCACCCCCAGCCTCGCAAGGGGTCTGGAGTAAGCTGGGGCTTCTGTGATACAGGACAGCTTTGCCGGGACAGTTTCGGTGCCCTCGCCTCTGTGAGGTCTCAGATCCCTGTCCAAAACAGAAACTTCTCACACGATCCTGTATCTCCATCCTGCCTTGTTTTTCATCACAATGCTCAATGCTACCGCGTTCTTGCAGTGTGAACTTAATTTTCAGTTTGTTATCAGGCCCTCCATCTCTTGCTCTGAGAGAGATTCACGGAGCAAGGGGGCTGGCTTTGGCTGCATGTTGAGTACCAACACCTAGAACTGTGCCTTAGCGGTAGTAGAACTACTAGTTTGTTGCGTGAGTAGATGCGTGGATATTCAGCCCCTTCTTAACACCTGTCATCTGTGCGGGTAGTAATAGATCAAGTTGTTTCCACAAGTGTGTGGGAATTTTGATGAAACTGTTTACCATGGTTTAAGAGTTAGGAGGAAATGTATGTGACAGTTTCCGGAGAGACTTAGCTTTATACTCCACACGAATGTTTTGTTTTGTTTTTAGCTTTGCACCAATGTCTGCAAGGTTTTTAAAAAACTGATATACATGTTTTAATCGAAGACAATTCTTTTCCTGACAGATTAGCCCCTACCTCTAAGAATTTACACCTGGAGCCAGTTTGTTTCCTTGGGGACACAGATAAGTTGGGGATGGGAGAGATTTGCAAAAACATTTTCACTTTCATTCTGAGTTTCCAGAATTTGGCTGTCATAACAAGAGTGGCTCTGGGTTTTGGTAGTCATTACCAGAGTGAAGTCATGTCTTTGTTTTCAAAGGTGTCCTCTAACTGTGGAGTTGGTACCTGGTATATGGTTTCAAGGTATACAGCCAGGCTTGTGGTCCAAACGGTGGGTGTGCTGACCAGTAAAAACAGGCTTGAGAGAGCTTCACTTCAGTGCATTAGGTTTTAGTCTGTTTAGAACAGCATATATTCTAAGATGTCAATCCAGTATGTCCAAGTGTGCTTTACGAAAACATATTAATGTCTTCTAACATAAGACTATGTAGGCTGGTAGTGTAGCTCAGTGGTAGAGCACATGTGTTTCAGGAACCAGACCCTGGGTTCAATGCTCAACCCAGGGCAGAGAGAGGACAGACCCAACAATAGGTCGATTTAGTAAAAGTACAAACTACGTCATTCTTTCATTGATTTGCACTCCCCCTGCTGCTAAGAAGTCAATAAATGAAATGTGTTATTTTTGTAGTGTCTAAACCTTTAATAGAAATGCTGTTTAGAAATTATAACTAGTTTCAACATTGTGCCTGATCCATCATCTTGTAATTTTTATTGAACTTTATTTTTCATCTCTGAGAGCCTACCGTATTTATTTATAGAGGCTCCACCCACCCCCAGGCACACTTGGGAAGAACACCTCAGGTTCTGGAAGTGAAGTTGGAATTTTCTCCCAGAGAAGGAACACTGAAGAGAGTAGTGGGGTTCTTATGAGACCTGCAGTGTAGCCTTCCCTCAGTCTGGAAATCCACAGCGGTCAAAGGCCGCCTGACACCCGCAGCTTCCTTCTAGCTCCTGCCTCAGGAAGTCCTACCTTACAGCTGACTCTGTGATGCCCAGGCTCGCCCAGCTGCACTCCAGTGTTACGTGAACACAACTGTGGCATTTGTTGTACTGGGCTATTGTGAGTGATGGATGTAAAGTACCAGGGAGGTGCCTGGTGTGGAGTAAAAGCTTAATCCATTTCAACTGATGGGGTAGAGGAGCAAGCTGGGTAGGTAAACGAGGACCAGCATTCCTCCAGCCTTTGCCCAGGGCCCAAGTAAAAACCCAGGGATAGTGATGTAGCACTCATAAGTACTCATGCCGTACTTATGATCTCAGTACTGGGAAGACAGAGACAGGTGGTTCCCTGATACCCACTGGCTACCCAGCCTAACCTTATTTGGCCTATGCTCCAGCCTAATAAGAGAACCTTTCTGAAGAGGACCAAAGCAGATGGAGGGTGGGGAACATTACTGAGGAAAGATATCTGAGGTTGACCCCTGGCCCCCACATACATCACTGATCTGAATCCAGTTAGAAAGAAGCCAGCATCCTAAGTTCATTTCCATACCAAGCAGATTGGAGGATCCTTCAGAAATTATTTGCATTTTAAGTAGCCAACTGCAAAGCAAAACCTTATTTGGCTGAAATCAATAAGCTACATGGTTAAGAATGTAGGTATATGGGTCAGTGCACAGGATAAAGAGACTTCTTGCCCTTAACTGGGTATCTAAACTCTGCTCGGTTCTTGGGTTCTTGCCTCCCATTCCCACTAGTGTTTCCTGGTCACTGTGTGGTGACCTCCTGGCCCCTGTTTCTCCCAGGACCCAGATCTTGGGCCTGTCCTGCACAGGACTGCCACCCAGACACAAGGAAGGCTTGAAGCTCCAGCTGAAGCAGGAGGTGACAGAACACCCCAGGCAGATCCTGCAGCCTCTATCTCCCCTCGCAGTGTCCTCTGAGCTTAGATGTGAGCAGTTAACAGTTAATGTCATCTTTGTCCTTCCAGTTTCTTAGCCCCCCACCCCAAATCCTGGAGCCATCTATAGCTACCCTTGCCCAGAGCAAAAACTGAAGAGTAACTGGAGACCACACTCTTCATCTCTGTCGCTCTCCCTCCAGGCCACCTTGCTGCTCCTCCAGTGTCCCAAGCGTGGGCCTTTGTCTGTGCTGCTGCTAGTGCTGTTGCTGTCTGCACTGCCTTCCCAAGTCTGCTCTTTTGTGTCCTTCCTGGCGAGACCTTCCCTGACCACTGATGTTGAAGAGTACACATGCCTCCACATGCTCACCCCGAGTCCCCAATGTGTTGCATCTTGTCTTTAGGATCTCCACCATTGGCTGGCAGCCTTTCTCTAGAGCGTGAGCTCTGACTGTGGTTACTCATGTCTCAGCTCCTAGATCTGGAGTCGTGTTCATGGTGGTGTTGAATTCTTCCCATAGCAACTGCACTTTCCCGTGGTGACTCACTTCACTCTTGCACACGTCTGTCAGTCTCCCTTTGCTGTCTTCTCAAGTCTAAACACGTATAGCCAAGAGCCAGGAGGTCGGCAGTTTGGATGCTTTTCTGATTACTCCAAAATGGAACTGATTTCTCTCCAGTGTCTTCCTTTTCTGCTGACCCATGTTGTTCCCCACTAGACCACTAGCACCTCAAAGTATCATTTCTGACTGATCCCTGCATCTTCTTTCCTAACTATCCTGCTTTATCTATAGCTATCGTTTTGCAAGCTTAGTGACCCTTAGCAAACTCACTAAAATCTAAGACATCCCCTTCTCTACATGAGCGTCTCTCAACTCTTTCTGCTGGTCCTGGTCAGCTACAGCTCCCGGAACATCGAAGCTTGCCTAGGTATCTGCCTGGTACCCAGGCTCGTCCCCTTTCCAAGCATGCCCTGTCTGGGAGGTAACCCTTCTGCACATACTGCACATACACTCAATCTGCCCATCGTGGCCTCTCTCTTACCATGCAGCAGTTTACTTAATGTCTTTCACACCTCTGCTGAGGTGTGTGTGCTCAGATGAAGTCATGTTCTAGATCTCTACCTGAACTTCAACCAGAGAGGCCCTCAGTGGTGAGGGGTGTGGTATGTGTGTGTGTGTGTTTTAGATATCAGTCATAGTGAGTTTTGCTTCATTTTTTTTTTCAAGACAAGGTCTTATCATGTACCCAAGGCTAGCCTTGAACTCACTACCTTCCTGCCTAACCCTCTGGAGTACTGGAATTTCAGGCATATGCTACCACAGCTGGCTTTAGACATTGAGCCACGTTTCAAAACAAACAAATCCTTCCGTTTTTGTTTGCTTGTTTTGTTTTTAAGGAAAACTTTAAGCTCACAGGTTATAGTAACAATGTATATTTTGCTGTCTCATTTGAAACATTCCCTTTGATCTGGCAAAGCACCGCCAATTCCAAACCACTGCCATTTCTCTCCTCTAGTAACAGCAAACTTCCGATGCCTGCCTTGAGTGGATTAGGGACTTAGTGAACTTTGTCTCCTAAGCGCCTGCTTTTGGGGATTCAGGATGACTCATGGTCTACCCTGAAGACCTGGCTAACTCATTCTTTCTTAGTCATGATGCTTATGTCCTGTTATCCTTTGGTTTCTCTACAGCATTTCTTTGTAGGCAAGTGTTCTATTACAGATAGTTGATCTCTTTTATCTTACTCTTAATGCTGAGATACTTCAGCCTTCAGGTCTTGAGGTCTGTGACCTAAGGGTGTGCCTGGCACATAGCACGCGTTTTGTATCTGTGAACTTCTGTTGTTGTTCACTACTATTATTATATGTATGAGTGTTTTGCTTACATGTATGTCCGTAGACCACCTGCATGACCGGTGCCTACAGGGACCAGAAGAGGTTATCAGATCACCTTGTATTGGAGTTAAAGACAGTTGTAAGCTGCTGCGTGGGTGTTGGGAATCAAACCCAGGTCCTCTGGAAGAGCAGTCAGTACTCTTAACTACTGAGCTATCTGTTCACCCCCGAACTTCTGTTCTGGTTCACAAAAGTGGCCCATTATCTACATCTGCCACCAGTTCCAGTCCATCCAGCTTAGCTGCACCAAGTCTGTGTGTCTGAAAGTATAGTTCTCTGACTCTTACATCAGAATCACCAGCCTGTGCTATTAGAAGCAGCTTGCATCCTGCATAGGACCTGTTCAGTAAGACCTCTGGCTACAGAGGATGAATGCGCC